CACCTCTTCTGATCCACCGCCCCCTGAAGTCCTAACCGACGCCCTCAGCCACTGCATCCCCCATTGTAGTTCGCACCCCTTCCCCCCTCGCCGTTCGCACCCATTGTCGAACAGACCCGCCACCGCTTTGATTCTGTCCCCTCTCTTTCAGACCGAAGAAACACAGAGAAGAAGGGGTAACTTGGATTTGACCCATTGTTCAGACCCCACACCAGGTTTAAGTGAACCTGATCTCAAGTTCAGATCCAACCCGTACTACTTAGATCCATTGGAGTCCGGTTCAAGTTCGATTCGAATCCGATTCGAACCTCGATTCAGCAGTCCTTTGGTGCATGGCCAATCCTGAAGCCGAAGACGCTTAGTTCGTGATTGATCCAGAGATCGGCGTAGTTGATTTACAGCTTTCTCAGTGGTTCGACTATAAGCCGTTCGAGACCGTAGATAGATACGTTGAACGTGTGACTCATCAGATTGCCGATAGCGTGGAGAGTCGTTTGGGGATTAGCTCGTGGCACCAACGTTTCCATCCAGACACACCGCTTCACACTAATTACGTAGCTCTCGGAGGAGAACTCACGCCACTCAGATTCAGAGTCGGTACACAGCCTCCAGAGGTCCCTCCCGTCGAACCAGTTGAAGGTTTAATTTTCTTTCGACCTAGTATTTTCGGAACCACTATTGCGTGCATGCTATTATCAATTTTAATATCGATTGTTGTGCTGTATTCCGTTTGATTAGTGAGCGAGCGATTCTGTTGCCAAGTATATTTACTGATCTAAATATTACGAGTCGAACTGTATTAAGAGAACAAATTATTACATTTATTATCTGAATAATTTACAAAGGTCTGAACTTAGTACATTTGCACTTTTGCTTAAAAACCATCGAAAGCTTCACTTTCTTCTTGAGCTTCCTGCCTAGATTGATCACTGATTTGGTGAAACATTGTCATCGCTGATCTTCATATCTGCACCCCATTGTTTTGTATCAAAAACCCTTTTGATGTGGTACCATCCACATAAGTTCAAATCTTTTTGTATTTGTTAAAGGCTAGGATAAGACCCCAAAAACAAAGTGAGAATGTAAAAAATTATATCCCTCACCCCTCAGTGAATCATTGGAATTATCTTGCAGTGGCTTTAGAACTTTTGAAAGCATGCTTTTGCTTATCTTTTCCCCTTCTACATGCATAGTCGTGAGGTTGTTTTTGCTTTGCAAAAAAAGGGAGGAAAAAAATGAAGTAAAAAGAAGAAATAATGCTGAATATCACTGTGAAATAGAACACAGAATCTCAAGCATCAATAAGAAATTCTAGCATCTGATATTATATCTGTGTTTAGCGGTAACATGCACTTGTTCATGCTATGTATAATATCCTTTATGTATTACTAGTATATCCGTATGTGAAAATGCACGTGCAAATTATATTGAACTTCAATCTAAATAGTTCTTGCCTTCTTGGTCATGCATGTTAATTGTGTTATAATCGGTTCATGTGTATCTCTAACAGTCTAGGAATAAAACACGTGCATAATGCATATGATTAAAATAGTAAGAATTACCAAAAAAGTATGTTTATCTTTTATGCATCGAAAAATTATTATTGTATCCTCCATTTTAACATGATGAATGAAATTGAGCTTAAAATGCATATAGTAGTTTACTGAGCATTATTTATAATATGCCGCTACCTAACTTTCATTGTGTTATATCATGATTTTCTTACATTATATGATTTTAAAAAAAGGTCATGTGTGAAATTGTAAATTTGAGAAGGAGATGGAGGAACGAGAGTAGTGAAACCTTCTAAAGGAGGGAATGAAATTTAAATTTGAAATAGAGATGAAGGAATTGAAAATTGAAGGCAATGGAACCTTCGGGGCGGTTTGGGGGGGGGGGGGTGTGATGGTGTATGAAACCCACCAATAATAAGATGGTTGACAATGACCAAATCAGCCTTCAACTATAATTACCCCTCCAGTCTTTGAAAAGATACTGGAAAATTACCCATTCCTAACACTTTTCCTTACCTCACAAAATTCTGAGTAGTAATATTTGAAATACAGAGAAGTAATGAAATTTGAAAGTAATGGAACTCTTCTAGAGGGGGGGGGCGGTGCGTTAAACCACACCAATAATAAGATGTTGACAAATGACCAAATTGCCCTCATCCTTTAATAAAATTACCCTCTATATTTTGAAAAATTGAAGGAACAATTACCCATTCCTTCACACTTGCCTACCCTCACAAAGATTTTCATAGAACAGTATAGATTATGAGCAACAAAGATTTTCATAGAATAGTATAGATTATGAGCACCATTGAGTTATAATTATCATTGTTAACCAAATCTTCCAATGTTCCCTAGTATATCTTATTCGAGTCTCCTCATCTATTATAGCTTATTTTAGTGTGAGATAAACGTTTCGTTCATATTATTTTCTTTCTCTGCTCCATGTCTTCTGGAATATTATTATGTCTCCTTATGCCATAGCTTTCTAAAGCAGCCATTTTGTTTTTTGTTTTTTTAAATACAACAGGCTATGATGGTAGTTTGTAACTGGGAGCTTGGTGAAGCTAGGAAAAGGGATGCAATAGACCGAGCTCGGGTACGTGGTGAAGAACCTCCGGCAGATATTCTTGCGGAAGAAAGGGGTTTACACTCGACCATAGAAGCGGATGTGAAGAACCTTCTGAATGGGAAAACATCCACTGAGTTGGAAACCTTGCGAAGACAGATTGAATCACAGATGCGTTCAGGAACTGCCAAGGTTGTTGAATACTGGGAAGCTATTTTGAAACGGCTTCAAATATACAAAGCGAAGGTATTTCATGCTTTATCACCTTCATGCATGTTTTCAATTTTTGATAAACTGATATGTAGTTCGGCACTTATGCATACTGCTAATTTTGTAGGTGTTATCATAATCCTACTCACAAGTTTATACTGTAAATTTAGCTTGCATGTGTAGATTAGGTTTCAGTGTACTAATTCATCTTTTCCTGCATTTGGTAAGTAATGGTTTTTTTTCATATGGGCATTTTACACGTTTAATCATCATATATCTCTCACAAACTGCATATCTGTAGACTCTGTACTTAGGTATATTGGGTTCATCTAGCATGTATTTATAAAGTCAGATTAGTGTGTTAAAACTAAAACTACCAAACTGAAGTTTTTCAATTGCAAGACATACACATGTGGCTGTGTTACTGCATATGCATTTTTTGGAATATTCTAAATCAACAGGGCACTAGTGCTCATATTTACTTTGATATTTTCTGGAGCTTGGTAGGGATGTTTTGACACAACTTCTGAACTGGTCAGAATTCCAGAAATAGAAATTATCAGGAAGTTTGGTAGTGCACTTTATGCTTTTTAGGCTCATTATCCGGTAGGGAATCTGCTAGTGCAGTTTATGCTTATACGACCAAGGTTCAGCTCTCAAAAATTCCCTTAAGAGTTAATGCAGTACAGTAAAAGAGGGAAGTTTAAATGATACTCGCTTAAGTGGTATCCTAGGCATTTGGTTGGGACTGGAACTTAATCAGGCTTCAAAGTACCTTTTTAATGGCCCTTGCTTCTGTTGATTGTTGAAGAACATCTGCTTAAGGTGGTTAGATGCAAATATAGATGTAACATCCAGTTGTGGACAACTCATGGGCTTCATTGCTAACTACATGTTAGAATGATTCTACAGGAAAATTTTAACTGTTCTTATTTCATTATCTACAAAGAAGGCGAAGAGGGAGAAATCTTAGAAAACAAATCACTGAAAGAAAACAGAGAAGAGGACAAAGCAGAAATGACCTTAAAAGGCAGGCAAATATTAAAAAAAAACAAACAAAGGAAAAGGGTATAAAAAAGAAAACATAGACAAGAAGGAAAGCAAAAGAGATTATGGAGGGAAAAACCAAAGGCGAAAGAAGGAAAGGAATGAGAGACAAAGGCAAAAATAAATTTATACAGATATGTAAATATATGTGCTCTCCAGTCAGTTATGGATTAGATTAGCGAACATATCGAAGAAAGAGATGGAACAATGTGTTCGGTTTGAGATTAAACTTGCTGCCAATTTATTTACCCTTATTTCAGTTTCTTCTTTCGGAGCACAAGCCTATAACTGTATAATATTATTTTGTTAGATGGTGAAATTTGGTTGTCACCTATATTGACTTCGAATATTTGCTTCTAAGAGAGAGGAGATGTGGGGGAAAAGGAGGAGGCAGAAGAAGAAGAAAAGGTTGACAACAGACAACAGTCAACCGCTTAAGCAGGCTTAAGCGGAGCGGTCAGCACAATCAAAATACCTAGTCAGTTGCTTTTCAGAATAGCGATATTAGACTTAAATAAGTGTTAGATGAACATATTCATAAAGTGATATATTTGATGACAAACGACTTTTAACTGCTTTGCTTAAAGTATAAGAAAATATTCTGCAAGTTAAATTACCAAAGGCATACCATACATTTGTGTGTACACCTCAGTTCAGTTAAAGAAGATGTTGCAAATTATTGTACAACCAACATTGTAAATTGTAGCGGAAGATCCTGAGCATATGGAACATTAAGTTGTTATTGACGAGCTCATAGACAGAGAGAGTGGATTTATAGTTCATGATCTAGTATGCTTTCTTTAGAGAAAGACAAACGTATAATGTGAGACTTTCATAAAATTTGCGAGCTTTGGGTTGTTTGTCTTCAGTTGTATTTGTATTTTGTATGTCTTGTCCATGTCTTAGAAAATATCAGAAGATATATTATTCAGCATATTTAACAGGATACTGTATTAATAGAATTGATACCTTACTCTAGGGACAAATCGTAAAGCCAAGAGATATATGGGGGTTTGTAATGTTTAATTCAGAATTATGTGATATTTGTATTTTACCATTAAATTTGCTTAGCTGAAACAGCTCACAGTATAGGCAAAACATTGAATTATGTGCTTGAACGACATTGCATATGTTAGTCTCGGAGTGGAATAAAAATAACAGAACAATGATCAATTAAACTTTTGTAAATTCAGGCTCGTCTGAAGGAAATTCATGCTGATCTGTTGAGAAAGCACCTGCAACATCTGGAGAAGCCAGTAGATACTGAGCAGGACTTGGAATCAGACAAGGAAATAAAGACTGCAGAAGAAGATGTAACACATGAAGTGGATGGTATCCGTTTTGCTGTTCACGTGCTCTCTTATGTAATAGATTTCATTTATAGTATCTTCACCTATAGTTCCATTTTCTGTGTAGATGGTCAACAATTTTCACCTGAGCTCATTACAGAAGAACCAATGCCTGAGCCAGAGGAAGAACCAGGCTCTTTTTCCCCTCAGCTCTTGCATGCTGATCAAGATGAAGAAGCAATCGATCCTGAAGTGGATCAGGCCGAGCTGGTAACTGATCTCATCTAATATTTTTGTTTATCTTTATGCAGACATATGTTTTTGCAGCATTATAACTTAGTTAGCTATCCAACAGGGCACATGTCATCTCAAACTTTTTGTAGCAAGTATTTAGTAAAACTTCATTGGGAAATGAGTCATCTGGCACTACTAGTATTTCCTGCGATTGAGCTTTGTTGAACTGATAATCTTTCTCTTTATACTTATGGTACTATAGGCGATAATAGCAGATTTTTAGATGCATGTACCATAAATTTCAATGAGGAATGTTCCTCATCAGCATAATAAATTAATAACTATTCCTGGGTAATAAGAAAGGGTAATTATAATGAAACCCTCTCAAATTTTGACCATTATTTCAACAAAGAGGGATGCTCCTCATCATCATAATAACTGTTCTGGTGAAATATAAAAGGGCAGTGACTATGGAACCCTCTCTAATTTTGATCACTTATTAGGAAACATTCTACTGTTAGGCAACCTCCACTGTTAATTTATTGTTAACTTCTCTTTAAAAGAGCATGTGCAGGTCATATGCATATTTATTTATTTCTCTATCTCTTCTTCCTCTTAACAAACTTTCCCTTTTTTGCGGTGCTTATGTTCGTTTGTACTTTTCGTCTAGCATATGTATTATATATGACTAACAAAATTTCTTTTCTTTGAGAACTAGAATGAATAACATACTCCATTGCAGTTGAAAACATTCATAAATAACATAGAAAGCATGAAAGTTTTACAAATCCTCCTCCTATAAGTCAATTTTGTAAAAGAAAAGATAATAAATTGTTCTAAGCTTTTCTTTTCTCCCATTTGCTGACATTTCCAACTTGCAGTTCTATTTCTTTTCTTTTTTCCCTTTGTTTTGTTTCATTAATCTCTGAGGTGAAAGTAAATAGTAACGTGGCTTTGCGTAAGTTATTGTCCTCTTAAGATAAATTGGTTTTCTGAACTAGCAGCCTTACTGTATCAACTAACTTCGCATTGAAATAAAAAAAAGGGTAACTTTGCATTGCATTCTACTACAACAGGGGAGATTGTTTTCTGATTTCAAACCATTATAATATTTGCATTGTGCTTGAATCTGAGCTTAATATAGTTCTTTTTTGACTTTTGACTGTAGGAGCAACTTATAATTTTATTTCAAGTTTCAGCACATTAAGGCCTAACCAGTTGGTTGAGTTTTGTTCTTTTCTGTAATCTGTAAAGTAACTCTGTTGTTAATGCACCAATTAACAGGATAAAAAGCGTGAGGCTGTTATGTTAGAACATCAACGAAGGGTTCAAGAAGCAATGGCAGCCAAATCCAATGTGCCTGATGAGTTGGAAGTGAAAGCAATGAAAGCAATGGGGGCTTTGGAGGAAGGTGATGCAGTGCTTGGTTCTGGTGCTGAAGTAAATCTAGATTCACAGGTGCATATCTTCTCCACTCTCATATTATTCCTCCATTTATTTTTTTGTTTATTCGATCCAAAAAAATTCTCACTTTAAGAATCAGGTCATTTCAAATTAGATGAGATTTTAACTGTGTTTTTAATTACCTGAAGCTGCAAATTGGAAACTTAGTATCAATTTGTCTCTTGCTGCCATTGCAACTTTTTGGCGACTCCAGCTGTAAAAATAAGTCATTTTTTGTGAAAGACTTTTTAATCAATTTGGCTTTTTTTTTTGCAAAATTTGATCCTTTCTTCTGATTTCAGTTGTAAAAATATTACAGATACCACTAAACATACGACTGCACTTGTAACTGTGATTGTCTTTTGCAAATTGCTATTGCAGTTAGAATTGCATGTGACAACAATATCCATTCTGCTGTCCCTTATCTTTTCAAGCAATGCTAACTATACTACAACTATTATACTATTTCGGTATTGCAAGATTCAAAATCAATTGAAGTATAGTCATTGCGAACAGTACATGAATCAATACATCTACTTTAAAATATGATTCTTGTAGAAGTAAATGCACACGGGGCCGCTTGCAATTCACAAGAAAAGGTCCTACAGACTTATGCCTTTTATTATCAAAGTAGTATATCATTTGTACCGCATTTATCATTTCTATTTGATGATGCTGAGCATGCCATGCTTTGCTTTCACAGGTGTACTGGTGGCATGACAAATACCGTCCGAGAAAGCCAAAGTACTTCAATCGTGTTCACACTGGATACGAGTGGAATAAATACAATCAAACTCATTATGATCATGACAACCCGCCACCTAAGATTGTTCAGGGCTACAAGTTCAATATATTTTACCCTGATCTCGTCGATAAATCAAAAGCTCCAATATACACTATAGAGAAGGATGGAAATGGAGAAACATGCATCATAAGGTTTCATGCCGGGCCTCCTTATGAGGATATTGTAAGTTTCACTTCTTAAACATTAGACATGTTTCCCTTCCTTTTTTTTTGAATGTTTATATTGACGGGTCTTTTTTTTTGTGTGTATATCAGGCTTTTAGAATTGTAAACAAGGAGTGGGAATACTCGCACAAGAAGGGTTTCAAGTGCACCTTTGAGCGAGGAATTCTGCATGTTTACTTCAATTTCAAGAGATACCGATACCGGAGGTAATCTACACTAGTGAACTGGAGATAGAAGAAGCCCATGAGTTGAAATTTTCAGAGGGGATTGTTACGGAATTAGTGTTCTAAAAAATGCTTCTGTTTTCATAATGTGGGAATCACTGCTTTGGCGCCAAGAGCCTGGGTTCAATCTTGTACAACACCGATATATTGGGGGCATACACTGGCATCAATACTTTTGTCCATACGATTGTAATATACGAACGGAACATTAATGTGGACAATGCGATAAAATGAAATCGATTCATGACTTTGACGAAACATTTTGCTTCTTTCTGCACCGGTGCTTTTCGTTCCCAATGGATACTGATGCTGGGTAGTGAAGTTATCGGAGGAGTCTATGAATAGAAAAGATTGGATTTGCTATTTGCTATTTTTTCTTAATCTTTTATCGTGTATGTGCGAAGTTGAAGTCACCAGACTCTCAAGTTTATTGGTCATTAATTGATTTGAATAAGTGTGCTAATTGAATCGTATGCGCCGATGTCCAGGCTATCGCTCAAGCGTTTAAGCTCATTGGACCCTCATCTTGCCTTGTCAAACTTATCAACCAAGATTGTGGAGCTAAATGCTTTACAAGTTGGATTGAACTAAAGCTTTCATCCTACTGAATGTATTGTAAATTGTATATACGCTTATTTGTCATATATAAAAATTTTGGTTCAAAGAGAGAGCTGATTTGAACTAATCTGAACAGAACTTCTAAAAGGAAAGAGTCGTTTCTTATCAAAGTCATTGACTTGAAATTATTGAAGGCTCGTATTATGCTATAATTAGAATCTCATCTATTTGTTATTTACTTTTACTAATTATTAAAGGAAGATAGTTTTTTCGTTACACCCCTTGGTCACACTCTCTAGCAACCCAAGCACGTCCTTCCATCTTCAATTTCTTTTAAAAAAGGAATTTGTAACAGGCACAATTAGTAAACACTAAAATAACACTCACGAATCGCACGATCTCGGAACTTCCCACCATAAATAATCACCGAAATCACGCGCCGCCCCCCCCCGCCCCCCCCCCCCCGCCATTATTTTTTAATATTATGAATTAGTCCCTCAAATCATTGAACATACTAATAGATCCCTCAAATCTTAAACTGTTTTGAATTAGTCCCTCAAACCACTGGAAGTGCAATTAAGTTCCTCATATTTAAGTTATTTGCAAATTAGTCCCTCCAACTGAGAGGAAAAGTAGCAGTTGGAGGGATTAACAAGTAAAATCTATTGCTACGGACTATTATTGTATTACATAACTTAATTCTCATAGGTTATTTTAAATTAATCCTTCTAAATGCTGCTTCTTTTTTCAAATTTAGTGAATAATTTGGAAATAACTTAAATATTTGGAGGAATTAATAGCAATTTCAATAATTTGAGGGACTAGTTCATACTAGCTTAAGATTTGACATTAGAGGGAGCTAATATCAATTTCGACTATGTAGGGGACTGATTGAGAATGTGAAAGGTTTAAAAAACTAATAGGAAAGGAAAAAAAAGAAAAAAAAAACAGGAACAAATCTCTAAACCCCTCTAAAACTTCGCCATCATATCCTAACTGCCATAGTGTATGTTATTTACAGATTATATAGGGTTAGTTGACGAAACTAGAAGATGTATAATTTCTAGAGTAGAAAGATGGAGACAAGCTCTTGAATCTAAAAGTTTTAGAATTAGTAGAACAAAAACAGAAATATATGGAGTGCAATTTTACTAAAACTAAGAAAAGAAAGAAAAACCTATAATGCGTATTAATAGTCTAAAAGTAATCATTTTCTCTATTTATGATCAATCATTAGGCATGATGGTGAGATAGATGATGATATTGTACATCGAATCAAATCGAGATGGTTGAAATGGAGGAGTGCCTCGGGAGTCTTATGTGATCGTAAAATATCAATGAAACTAAAGAAAAAAAATTATATAGGACAGTTATAAGACCAACTATGCTTTATGGGTATTAGTGTTGGGCAATTAAGAAATAACATGTGTAAAAAATGAGTGTAGCAGAAATGAGATTTTGCGATGGTTTTATGGGTATACGTTAAAAGATATGATAAGAAATGAGTGCATTCGTAGCAAATTAGATGTTGCTCCTATTTGAGGTCAAAATGAGAGAGAATATATTAAGATAGTTTGTCATGTACAACAGAGACCGCTTAGTGCACTGATTAGAAAAAATAATAATATTATAGTTAATGGGGATAGGAGATCGAAAAGTAGACCCAAAATGACTTGGTTGGAAACCGTTAGGAAGGATATGATTATGACTAACTTTAATGAGGAGATGACCCATAACAGAATGAAATAGAAGAACATGATTCATGTAGCCGACCCCAAACATTTGGGATAGAGGCTTTGTTGTTGTAGTAGTAGTAGTAGTTAATTTCTGTTGTGTCTATTAGTTTAAAGTTTACCTTCTGTAGATTAAATGAGCGCATTTAGACACTTTATGGGAAATTTGTTATTTTATTTATTTGATACTTATTATGTCAATTAGTGATGCGTTTCAAACAATACTGGCAACTAGAGCTATAAAAATAATTCCTTTTTTAAAAAGACTTTCAAGCAATTTGTCTAAAGTCTTTTTTTCCCCCCGCAAAAACGTGATTCTTCTCCAACTTCAGTTATAAAAGAACAACGGATATTACTGCCACAGTTATATATTACTGAAACATAAAACTACAACTATACAATTGTGATTTCCTTTTGCTAGTTGCTACTGCAGTTAAAATTACACTGTCCAGTGGGCCATAATATTGATTGATCGAAATACCTAGCGATTCGGGTCGTTGCAAACAGTGCAAAATCAATACATCGAATTTAATTAAGACACGACTTCTTTAAAAGTAAATGCACAAGGACCTAGCTTTCAATTCGTGAGGAAAGATCTGACGTGATTTTTCTTTAAAAAGTTGTAGTATCTTTAGCATTAATCCTATTTGATGATGCTGATTCATGAGGAAAGATCGTTTGGGCAGTATATTTCACGCTGATCTCGTCGGTAAATCGAAAGCCCCACCACACGCTATAGAGGAGGATGGTGGGGGAATAGCGAAAAATGTGCTGTAAGTTTTCATGCTAGGGGCCTCCTTAATTAGGAGGATGTTGTTGTTAGCTATGTTGTTTGAGGAAAGACAATTTTTGCCTTTGTGAATAGTCCCACGTTGGAAATTGAGATGAACAGTAAGGGGTTTATATTGGAACACCTCTTATTGGGCTTTGAGTAATGCTTTGGGTTTTGTATCGGGTGGGCTTTGCATAACAAACACACGCGCGCGCGGCGCGTACGCACGCCTAGCCGCACGCGTACGTGTTTTTTTTATTCCTCCAAGCCTTCTTATCTGCACGTTTTACACGTTTTGACTCGGTCACGCAACGGCTGCGAAGATCATGCGGGGGTTACGCGATTGAGGAGAACGTGCGCAGATTGTTAGCAACGTCTCTGGGTTTGTAAACCCTATAAAAAAAGGGCTGATCAGTTTGAGGAAAACATAGAAAAAAAATTATTCTCTTCCTCTTAAAACCGAGCTCTCTCTCTCCTTCTAAAATTCTCGGCTACAGTTCAATTGGTTTTGTTTCTGGGTAACATTCTTTATCTGAGCAGAAGCTCTGCCACTCTCGCCCGAGTACAGAGGCCGACTGAATTCTGGGGGTTTTTACCGCTAGGAGAGAGAGGACCATCTATGCCAGGGCAATAGCGGGTTTTTAATCTTCTAGGACAGTGTTTACACGACTGCTCCCGATCAGACCAGAATTTCTAATTCTTTATTTTTAGATTTTTTATGCTACTAATTTTTATTTTTGACAGCAATCTAGAAGATTAAATATTATAGCTGTTGATTTATTAAATCAGAAATAGTTTTATTTATAATTAATTGCTTTTAGTCCTGTTAATTCAAAAGGAAATTTTTTACTGTTCATTGAATTTCACTGTTCATTAAAATTTTTTATCTGAAATCATTAATTGTAATTCCTTTAATTACTTGTTTGCTTATCTATTAATTAATATTATTAAGTAGTTACTGAAAAAAAGAAAAAAGTTATTGTTCACAGGAAAAAAAATTTGTTGCTTTAATTAATATTGTTTATTTGTTGTTGTTTAACTAGAAAAAAAATCAGTTATTGCTTAAATTATTTTCTGTATTAGAATCATATTATTCTAATTTATTGTTCAAATTTATTAATCAAAGTCAAGTATCTGGTCTAGTGGTATTAACAAAAACATTTATTCGATCATATTCCAAATACCCAGACTAGTAAACTTCAATCGGACTTATGGCTAACTCTGATCATTCAAAGAGTGTCAAACCTGAGAAGTTCACCGGATTTAACTACAAACGGTGAGCTAATCAGATGAGATACTGCCTCACCACCCTAGGTCTCCTAACTGCCATAGACACTCCCGGGTCTTCTTCTAGTGGTTCTCAACCCTTGATTCCCGATCCTGAACAACCTGATCCTTCCACTTCTAGCTCTGGTGCTAACTCTTTTTCTAGCTCTATGAAACCAGAAGAAATCAACTATCACTATTGCCATAGGATTCTTAGTGCACTTGAGGACAACCTTTATGACATATATTATGAGTTCAAAAGTGCTAAAGACCTATGGAATGCTCTTGAAGCAGAATATGACCTATGATGATGCTGGAATTCTGCATTTCACCTCCTCTTCCTTTAACTAGTCTGCTGTCCGTGCAAAGCACGGGTTTTTTTTTTTTTTTTGCTACAGTAATCCCGCCTTTTTAACATCTCCTGTTTTGAATTTTCTGGGAATGCTACAGTATCCCGCTCTGCTACAGTACCTTTTAAATGCTACAGTATGCCCGTGTGCTACAGTGATATTTTTTTTATTAATTATCTGCTACAGTAATAATGCTATAGTAAATCTACTGTAGCATGAACAGCGACTCTCTGGTTCTCCCTTTTGTATAAAGGAATAGATAAGTTCACGATGGTTGATGAAAAACCCATTAATGAACAAATTCATGAATTCCAAGATTTTCTCCGTCATCTCCAATCAAAGGGAAACTCTTTTACTAATGACTTTAAAGTTTCATGTTTGATTGATAAACTCCCTCTCTCCTGGTCTAGATTTGCTGGAGATTTTCGACATAAGTAAGGAGATCTAACATTAACTGAAACCCTTAAGGCTATTCGAATTAAAGACCAGCATAGGCAAAATACCAAACCCAAGTCTGAAATGAAAGGTAAAGTGAACTTGATAGAGGATTGTAATACCCCAACCCTTGAGAGGGTGATGTGATTAGTATTGATA